AATCGGAACAGTGTCTATAGGAAGAGTGCCAGTAAATGCAACGAAAGGTTTCGAGCACTTTTTGGGGGTAGGGGTAGGGGTAGGGAGGGGGAAAGAAAACCTTTGAAAGGGCACTACAAAAATCCAAAAAAAAACATTTGCTCTGTGGGGCTCAGGAAACTGCCTCATATTTCATTATTGTATTTATTTTTGTTGTTGGTTTTTTAATGAATATATTTTTTTTTTAATTGGGTCACATGTTGACATTACCATTTTCGCCAGGGCAATAATATTTTATTAATTAATTTGACAATTGAAAACGGTAAATGGCCATTGATAAGGCAGTGGCGGCAGGGGCAGGGGGCAGCGGAGGCAGGGGCAAGTGTCTGGTGTCTCTGCCCGTCGCCGAGTTGTTAACCAGAAACAGAGCAGGGGCGGGGGCAGAGGCAGGGGAGGGGGCATGGGCAGGGGCGGGGGTAGGGACAGGGGCCGGGGCAAGCGGCAGAGGCGGAGGCTGCGAGAGTGAGAGACAAACCTGTTTGCATTTGATTTTTTGCCTGGCTTTGGGTAAGAGAGAGGGAGAGGCAGAGTGACAGCGAGGGGTATTATGATTTTAAGAAGAGGTTTGTTTGTGGTGGCAGCATTTTGGGATTCTGTCCATCTCTCCTGAATAATTATTCCTAATCGAAGGAGTCCCCCCCTTAGAAAAGTTCCACCAACTCGTCCCTCTATATCCCATTGTTTCTTTAAGCCAAATGTGAGATCTGCGACCCATAAACCTAGTTCTTGCCTTCGCAACTTCGGCCGCCCCTCCCTCGCCCTCCCCGCCCCGCCCCGTCCCGCCCCGCCTTTGGGCCCTCTGCCGTCTGCGGCGTTAAATAATTGTATTTAAATCGCGACTGGCAGTGACACTTGTTTGTGCAAACAGGCGAACAAACAAACGCAAACCCACAGAACACAAAACAGACAGAGAGGGGAAGCGAGCGAGAGGGAGAGAGAGAGAGAGAGCGAGAGAGACACGACGACACCATCAACACCAGCGAATGCGAATGCGAATGAATGTATCTTTTGAATCGTTTGGATGAATTAGCCATGGGGGACATCGCCCCCGCTCTGGCGCTCTCCCCTCCCCCCCCTCAGCCCCTGTCTTTGCCTGCGGATCCCCACTTATTAATGAAAACGTTTCAAATGCCACATTTCACAATTCGTGCGCCATTGAATCACATCACATCTCTCTCTCTCGTTTCGTTTTCGTTGTATTTTATTCACAAAATACGAATACGCGAATATACGTGAATTCGAATGCGAATTGGCAGCGATGCTGCCAGCGATGCTGCCGCTGCCACTGGCGCTGCCACTGCCGCCTCTGCTGCGTTCCAAGGTCAAAGTTTGCCTCGGAAGAACAAGAATTTTAGTGCAATTAAAAATAAGCGTGAAATGAACAAAAAACAATAACAACAGCAACAAAAACAAAAACAACACTAAACAAAAATTGTTTTCAAATTACGTGTGTACGCGTGTACGTGTGTGTGTGTGTGTGTGTGTGTGTGTGTGTGTTTGTATTTGTATTTGTATTTGTATTCCCACTGCTGTGCTTTGCGGCCAATTAATTTAAGAATGAAATCGAAATCTTGGCATTACTTTTGTCGGGGGGGTTACAGAGAGCCAGAGGAGGGGGTAGGGCGGGGAATACGTCAATAGAAATACGAATTTCAGGCTAGATATTGGAGGTGAATGGGAGCTAGGGATACCCTCTGAAGAAGAGTTTTTTTTATGGAAACATAGGTGTAGAAATGTATCTTGAGAAAGAAGAGACACATATAAGGATTTGAGGCCGGAAAGATTGCTCTCAAGGGGGTGTTACGGGTCTGTCTCTTACGGGAAACATCTGACTGATTCTATGACAGTGCCTGGTGGAAAGTTTCATTGGATTATCTTTAGAAACACGAAAGATATAGTGCTTTTAGTCCAGAGAATACTGCGCCTAGAAATAGGGTTTTCTTCAAAACTGAGATTTTTGCTATGAAAATTCAGAACACCCATAAAATGCCTCAAAATACCATCAACCATTCATCTAGGGTATCACAAAAAAAAAAAAAGAATTATTTATTGTTCATGTATTTTTGTTGTTGTTTTGTTTGAAATTTATGAAGCAATTTAAATATGTTTTTATGGGCAACATTTACACCTTTTAATGGGATTTCCAGCAGCCCCCGAATCACATGGGATTTATTGATCAATATCCACTAGTTAAGGCGGGAATTTATGGCCAATTTGCACTAGTTATTGATATTAAGAGAGACAGAGAGAGACAGAGTGAGATAGTCGAATCAGAATTCCATTCATTGGGAATGTATTTCGAGCAGTTCTGCTAGTTCTATATCTTTTTATAGCCACATCAAAGCATTTTCCCCATAATTCATTCTTTAAAAAGATACCAGAAAAAAGCAACAACAATTTACTACCAAAAAGAAAGAAAAAGTGTATATCAAAGAATCCGAGAATGACGCTTACATATTCCCAACGATTGCCAAAGATACAGATACAGATACAGCCACAGCTACAGATATATAGAGGGACCTGTATTTTTCTTATTGGCAATCACTGGGCCCCCAGTACCGATCCCGATCCCGAACCCGAACCCGATTTGTGTGTGTGTTTTTCTATTTTGCTTTTTTTTTCCCCCCCAATTGTTGATCATTCTCGAAAATTGTTTTTGAGTACCGGACATGACGTCAATAAGTGGGCGTTTGTGTTAATTTTCTTTATTTTATAACCCCCTGCCGGGGGGACGTATACTTTCGGTTCGCAGTGTACGTGGATCTATGCCATACTATGTATAAGCACGATATTTATGGGGAGACTCGAACGTCCCCTAACGTGTACCTAGGGGCATGGCCATGCCACTGGAATATCTCTCTCTTTCTCTCCCTCTCTCTCCCTCTCTTTTCCTTGTGGATATATGCCCCCATTGGCGCTAGAAACAATTGTTATGCCTCACTATAATAATAATAATAATTCGTTGGCCTTTTTTATCGCTTCGATATGGGAATATACTTTGTTTTGTTCAGTAAACAGTCTTATTTTTTCTTCATATTTTTTTGTTATTTTTTATTTTCGCCTATATGGCGTTTTATGGTTATAATTTCCTGTATTTCCTTATTTGCCAGCACCAGCGAGTGCTCTTTAATTATGTGTGCAAGCAAATGTTTATCGCGACTGCGACAGAGAACAGAGTGCGGAGATCGTAGAGGATCGCCTGCTCCTCTAGAAGATGGTGTTCCACCTTCTTCTCAGATCTTTTCTCTTCTTCTAGAGAGCTTTCTCTACTCTCCAGAGCTTCTAGAGATGTTTGTCGCCTTTAGAGATCTCTCTCGGACTCTCGAGATCTTTCGGTTAGTCTCGCGAGGCAATCGATCAGTGGGCATTACTCATACGCCGCATGGACCGGGACCGTGGCCTCAGGCCTCAGCAAAAGAGATTAACTTTTGCTCTCGATGTTGTTGTTGTTGTTGTTGTTTTGCCATAAATCTGACAAAAACATGCCATAAAAATACCATAAAAATACCATTGTTTTGCCATAAACATGTGCCATAATCATCAGCACATCATATCATACGGTCTACGCGATACGCGATCCGATCCCCAGTTCAAAGTTCATTCAGAATCTTGAGATCTTTTTACGCTAATTTTTGCGCCATTTAATAATGAAAGTTATGTCCATATTCTTGATAGACAAACGGAAATACTGAATGGAATTTGTGGAAACACGAAATCAAATCAAATAAAATTCTAGAGGCCAGATAGAGGCGGGCTGGGGTGCGGTGGGGTGAAAGCAATTAAGACAGATAATGGGGGTTACCAAATGTCGAGGGCGGCATTCGAAATTTGTTTGTACATATACTCGAAAGCAACGAGAGAGGGAGAGAGAGATTACTACCGCCAGATCTGTTTGGCAGCAGTCTCTCAAGTAATTTGATCTCCAACTCTAGATCTCTAGACCGAACCGAACCGTACCCACAAATTCCATAGAAAAAACCCCAGAAAGCGACATAATCTTCAAAAAAATCATGTGCTCCCGCCCCATTTCAAGTGAAACTCCAAAACGAGTGACGAGAAATATAATTATTATAATAAAAACCTCAAGATTATGCCTTTTATAAATATGTATCTCAAGAAGTGTTTAAAAGATGGTTTTTTTTTTGGTTTTAATTAACAACAAAACATTAAACCCGTAAATAGAGATGAAAATTTGCAAAAAGTTCATTAAAAGCAAAAAGAAAAATGTACTTTGAACCCCGGGCACGCCCTGGTTTCTTATGGCGAGAAGAGACCTTGTGTGTATTTGTGGGGTGCCCACGTGATCTACGTGATATTTTGATTAATTCGTGGAATTCTTGCAGTTTCTTCGGGATCAAAGACCCCCATTTAAGGCACGGAAATTTACTAGAGAAATATCATTATAATACCGCCGAAAGAAACTTTAACTAATGATATATCATCGCTAAATGTTTAGAAATTCTGTAAAAGCATCATGATTATCAGTATGATGGATTGAAAAACCTTTAAACGTTAGATATATCTCAGGAATTGACTGAAATATCAGTAGATATGTTTAAACTAAGGAGAAATCTCATTAAACTTTAGATACGAGTGATGCAGCAGAGCCCCTCGGTTGATTTGAGCACTGCTTGCTTTGGCCTGCAATAATATTCTAAGATATTCTATAGATATAATCCCTAAACTAATGAAAATCTTTCTTTCTTTTTCGTTTACAGATAGCAATCGTAGCAAAAAAGGCAATCACTGCAAAAGGATGAAGGCAAATCGAGCTGATTCCGAGGGCAGAAACTATTATCGAAGGCATTGAGAGACCCGAGAGAGAGAGAGAGAGAGAGCGAGATATATCCAGAGAAAAGATATATATGCAATAGCGAGAGAGAGCGAGAGAGAGAGAGCTCTGGAGGCAGAGGAGGCGGTGGAGAGGAGACGGGAGAGAGGAGAAAGGAGAACGAGAGGAGAGGAGAGAGGAGAGAGAGTGAGTGAAAGAGAGAGTGTAGCAGGAGAGGAGCGGTAGCGGGAGTATTGGAGTACAACACTACATGGATCGCAGAAATGGCGGCGATCCCTTGGCGCCACCCCGGCCCCCGAAGCTATTACCGCGCGTGCATCGACCAAGGGCGCCGGAGCCGACAGCACTAAGTGGTGTCCAGGGAGGAGCATCCGTGGCATCGACAGCAGCAACCACAGCAGCAATCCACAATAATAATTCACAGCAGCAACAACTTAGTATTAACGCAACGACGACAGCGACAGCGACAGCGACAGCGATAGCGACGACGATAAATAATAACACGATATCGATAATACCCGCATCACCGATTTCGGCCGATTACGATTCCGATTATCAGATCCATCATCTGACATTTCTGCCACAGCGACCGAGCAGCTTGAGTCGCAACAGCAGCAACGCCTCCTCATCGACAGCGACTGCGACTAGCAGTAGCACGGGAACGGGAACGGGCACCGGCACGGGCTCGGGCTCCATTTCCGTATCCGGTTCGAGCTTCCGCAGACGGCCGCCAGCACCGGCGCCACTGTTGAGCCTAGCATCCGCGGCGGAGAACAACAACTTCCTTAGTCATTTCCAAACCAGCGCTGATCAACCAGTGCCCCAGTCTCCAGTCACACTGGCGCAACCGCGACCCGAGTCCGAGAGGCTAACGAACGAGTATGTGGACACGCCGCTGCAGCATGCCACGCGCATGCAGCATCCGGCTGGGCAGCAGGACAATGGCCAGACGACAACGCATCATTTGCTGTTGCTGCCACAGCGGCAGCAGCACCATCAGCACCTGCAGCACCTGCAACACCCACACCCGCACCAGCACTCGCATCACCATCAGCAATCCTCCTTTGGCCAGCAGCCACCTCATGTCCGGCTGGGAGCGACGACGGCGGCAACGACGGCGACGCAGGGAGGAGCCGGAGCCGGAGCAGGAGCAGGAGCAGGAGGAATCGATCATACCGATGGCTTATTACATTCACATTTGCACTCCACAACGCCAGCGCAACAGCAGCAGCATCACCTAAGCAAAGGACAACCCGCCACAAAGCCTCGACTGGGACTGGGACTGGGCTTGGGCTTGGGCCTGGGTCTGGGACTGTCGCAGCAGCCCATCACGCAACCCATCATCACCAAGCAGCCGACAGCCACAACACCCGCCACGCAGACGCTCCAGTCGCAGACGCAGACGAGCAAGGAGCACATGCACGCACTGGAGGAGCTGCTGCAGGCCCAGCCCGGCAACGGAGGCGGCGGACCCGGACCCATTGTGATGGGGGGCGATCCGACGCTAATGATACCCATTGTGTGTCCGCGGTGCGGCCGCTGCCGCTGCGAGCAGTGCCAGAGTCCGCGCCCGCTGCCCCAGACATGGGTCTGCAACAAGACCTGTCTGTGCAGCGCCGAGTCCATCATCGACTATGCCTCCTGCTTGTGCTGCGCCAAGGCGTTGTTCTACCACTGTGCGCGGGACAACGACATGGACTGCGATGACGGCAACGGCACCCCGTGTGTGGACAATCCCTGCTCCTGCGGCCCCTACAAGCGCACCCAGAGATGGGGCTGGCTGGGGGCACTGTCGATTGTGCTGCCATGCCTGTGGTGCTACTGGCCGATGCGGGGTTGCATGAAGCTCTGCGAGAAGTGTTACGGGCGGTTTGCGGGCCGCGGGTGTCGCTGCCAGGGCGTGGGCGGGGCAGGCGGCATTGGCTCCACCAGCAGCATGCTGCCGATTGTGCCACTGGGCGTCAACGGAGCCAACGGCGGACTCGGCGGCGGCCTCAATGGGACGACCAACGGAGGGCAGATCGGCGGAGCAGGCATGGGACCCTTGAGCCAGGCCAATGGCAAGGCCATTGATCATGGCTGCAGTGCGGCCGCCAGTCGCATCCTTCGCAAGGGCGACCTCACCCCCGAGAAGCGGCTCCTCGACTCCAGTCCGGACTACTAGAGGGGGGAGTCTGTGGTCTGCCCCCCCCCCCCCCCCCCGTGTTCTGTGTGTGGTTTTTCCCAAGCCGAAAAAACCTCAGACACAGGGCAAAGAAAATTCACCAAGCAGGAGCTGGAATCTGGAGCTGGAAAGTGCGGTGGAACCCAACCCCTAAAAATATATATAGTATATATACGAAAGAAAATATTTAATATATGAATTAAAGGATATAAAAACAAGAGGAAAGAAAGAATGAACGAAAGAAAGAAAGAGAAAAAATTAAATAACCAAAGACTGCAAACAGATAATTATTAATTATTAGAAATGTTATTTAAAAAAAATACAATTTTTTTTTTTTGCTTAATTAAAAAAGGAAAGGGAAATGAAAAAGAGAAGCGGGAACCCGGGGAAACCGGGAAAACCGGGAAAAGAAAGGGAAAACTAAAGGATTAGGGATTTATATTTGGCTTTTTATGATGATGTGTTTTTTGTATTATTTTCACTTTTTTTTTTAATTTTAAATTTTAAAATTCAATGTTCAATTTCTAAGTCAAATTTTTAATTTTTAAACAATATATTTTGTATGTATAAAATGTATTCCAATGAATTTTCCAATGCGAAAAACACACACACACACACACACTCACACACAAATGTTTGTACCGGGGGGGTGGGGGGTAAAAGGAGAGTAGAGGAAACCCTTTTTTTTATTTTCATACAAAAAGAAAAACAAAGAAAAGAAAAGAAAAACGATTTGAAATGAGGCATAACACCAGATTATATAGTACCATATATAATCCTATATACAAAATGAATACATATACTACGGAGCGGAAGAGATAAGTTTTTAGAGAAATATTGCAAATGGCATAAGAAATTGTAGTCGAAAAATATTATACCACGTCCATTTTTGATGTTGTAGCAAAAACACACGCATAAAATATTGTACGAATTTAAAGAAATTCTTAACTTAAATATTGATGTATCTACGATGTGCCGTAACGTGTATTTCTTAATGGGAACCATAGACCAGGATCCAGTACTCGTGTGTAAATGTGCTTATAAATGTATCTATTGGTAGCCGGAACAAATCTGTTTGAGAGGAGAATACTACCCTACTCTACTCTACTCTACTCAACTCTACAATATGTATGGGAATAATGAAATTAGTTTCTTATGAGTGTATTTTAT